ACCGAAAGACCGCTTTAAATAGCATCAATCGTCGACTATGATCGTTTTTCCTTACTAGGAGACGATCAAAAAAATGTAGCAGATGGTTAGCGGAAGAACTCGAGAAGCTGACTCCTTTCCGACAGAAGTCTGCACAGATAGTGACTTAGCTTATGAACAGACCGACTGTACTGTTTCGGGAGACGTCGAGTTACGAGCACACCCTGTAAGCTTTCGAGGACGCCATAGTTATTACTCCGTAGTACAATAGATTTCTTATCTCATGAAATGTCGACCAAACTTTCAACACTAGTTTTCGATTTGAAAACATTATTAAGGTAGGCTTGTTATATTGATTATCGTGCAACCTTATATGAAGATATATCAGTCGCCTCAAAATGCCGACTTTTGGACTGGCCTCTTTCTGACCGCCTGTAAAATTTCACTCTGTAAAGCATGGTTACTTAAGTAGTAGGCATTTCCCTCATTTATTTTTTATACCCTTATAAATTCAAACAAATGTTATAGAAAATAGGCCTAAATTCGTTTCACCTGTTTGGTAGAAAATTACGCCTTCAAATTTTGTATTTGAAGAAAGGCTGTCATGTGGTTATAAAGATCATTTACCAACTAATCGAAATCAAACTAAGAAATACCTGGTAATGAAAATCGTCTTGCTGTTGTGCTCAGGTTTGCGCATCTGGGTAGTGTTGCCTCAGGAGGCATCGAGATCAACGGCAAAACGGCAGTCCTTATCTCTGAAATTCGCCGGACCTTTAGCAGACCGCTTTTCTCACCTTGGCATTCTCCTTACCCTGAGAATGGAAATGTATGATATTGTCGTCCTAACTTCATACCCCCTCGAGGCGGTTTATAGAACTGAGGTAGCAGGATGGGATTCCAAACACTCAGGTTCCGGAAACAATGAACTTGTTCGACACCAAATATACATATGCTGAAGCCACTTAAACTTCGATTGAGCGATCCTTCGATCATGGTAATGTCGTTACAAAAACTTGTAGATAGGCGTTGTGGACACCTTGAGGATCATACTTAAATGTCTCCAGATAAATATGGGTCCTGGGAATCTTGTGCTGAATTGATGAGCATAGCGATCTGCTCTTAAAATGGAACTAGTCGCCTTCGAAACCTGTTGAATATAAAAGGTTCACGGAGACCGCCAGTTGCGCCAGACTGGAGTTATTTGAGCACACGCACAGCCAATTTCTAACCGTTCGAAATTTTCCGATTGCTGTTTCTTATGAAGATGCTTTTAAAAAAGACACCTAATTACTCTCCTGCGCTACTTTCTTTGACTTTAGTTACTTAAGAATGTCCCCTTGATCGACTTCTCATGGCTTTGCTGTGATCAGTCGTGGAAAGCCGTACTTCATACTTTTACCATAACTTCGCATATTAAGATAAAACCTTGTTGTACAGCCGAATAACCAGACTGCATTTTTCTTTTGTCTTTGTAGCTCTGGCACCGAAGTTAATCCCGAAGTACTTCAAAAGGCCCTTAGTTCACAAGTATTCCTTGGAATGTTAAGCCTTCAATATCAGGCAGTGCCAGGAGTCCTGGAAATGATACGGAAACTCAATCAGGCCTGCATTCGTTTCGTCCATTTCTCAAAAGTATGCAATTTCCCGCCTTTTTAATACTGTCATTAGTTTATTACTCACCTTATTTTGCCAGCAGTGCTCTCTGCAGCCGACCCCCATCACCACCACCACCACCGTCATCATCATCATCATCATCATCATCATCATCATCATCATCATCATCAGCCATCATCATCATCATCATCATCATCATCATCATCATCATCATCATCATCATTTTCATCATCATCATCATCATCATCATCATCATCATCATCATCATCATCATCACCACCACCACCACCACCACCACCACCACCACCACCACCACCACCACCAAAATCTCATCATCATCATCATCATCATCATCATCACCATCATCATCATCATCATCATTGGCAGCAATGACGTTATCATCATCGTAATAGGCATAATCATAGCATCGTGATTGTCTTTTAGTTTCTACCATAGCATCTGGAGATGGGTTTTATACACGACATCTTAGTTTTGAACTACCATCTGATGTGTAAAGTTCTACACTTGGACTGAGAGCTATGACTTTAGAACCTTCATATTTTCTACAATTCTTATCGGTGTAGCATCCTTACTGGTTCGGTCTTCCGGGGCTATATCGGCCTGACCTAGGGAATGGTTACAATCGTTCAACAGTTTTTCGTCCCAACTACTTGATCCCTGTCCAGTGCTCATCATACACAACGAGAATGAGATGGTGGATATGCAATGGGTTTATTGAACGAGAGTATACTGGAAAGGATAGACTAAGCTATGAATAGGGACGGGATTACGGAGCTATTAAAGTAAATGAGGATAAAAACAGGCTTGCGGCGGCGAGCGATGATCCTGCTTCGGTCGGATCCGGACGGGTAATGGCCGCGACGGTAGCTGCGTGGGAAAAACAATGACCGTTATTTTTACTTTGGTCACTACAAACCCAGTCTTCACCAATGGGCGTTACATCGGCAAGGCCCGTGAAACCGAGAATGCCATTTTTGGGGTTTTCTGCCGTCATCAAATAGTTATTGCTGGTTACTGTGCGACCGGCTGTAAGGGTCGGATCGGAGTTCCGAAAAAAAAGAAATGACTGTATTCCTTTTTGCAGCTAGGTTATTTGCTATTTTTCTTTGCTTCGTGCGCGGTAACAAACCGTCAAAGAATACAGCCCTGTCAGAAACTCGTCTTTCAGTACTGCAGTTACGGTCTTATTTAGGGGCTGCCTAGGGCGCTTCGCAAGTCGGCCTCAATATGAAGCACCTCCGCGTTAGCGATTGTCAAAATGTCAACTGCTGCTCATTAATTTCATTAGCTACAATTTCTCCTTGTAGACGTAAACCCTTTGGATAATGTGTTCTTGTTTTAAATAAAATCAGATAAAGAGCTACTGTTCCACATGAGACCACACAAAATCATGGTTGAAGCTGTTTTTCGGCAGTGTTGGACATTTCCATGACAATTACATAGCGTAGGAGTCGTCCGTTTCTTTAACATCTAATTTAACCGGTAGTAACATTGTTTTAAAATGTTATATTCGGTTTATTTTGTGCCATGATGGCTTTTAGAATGCATAAGCAGTACCAGGAAGCTGACCAATTACATACTACCGATATCGAGTTCTTAACTCCCCGATCGCCTAAACTTATTTTATATCAAAGGTGACAATAATTACCCACATTTTTATTATTTTTTTGAACGGGACTCTTTAAGCTACTCAAAACAGCTGTTACTCCATTACAGTTCGTAGTGCTTCCACTCCCACTCTTTTCGTTTATAAACAACGGTCAAACATTAGGTATTGATTTAAAGTTTTTTTTACCTCCGCCTGACCCCGCCTCGGGTTTTCCTAAGTCTGTGATGGCACCGGGCACGATCGGGTGAGGGAACAGAGAGTGCGTTAAATGCAGCGCGAGTCTACCATAACCTAAGATTGATGATAGCGAAAGTCACTGCATTTGTTTTCAGTCTGGACGTCGTCGAATTCAAAAGTCGAACGGTCGACTAATTTAAGGTTGTCGTAGCCTCCTCGATTACAGCAAATTGAGGGTTTGCCTATCTCCTACACCAGCAAACATGAGCTGCCATGTACTAGAGGATCTAAGGACGAGTTATTTACCCATCTTCCAGTGTCTTATAAGCCTCTTCTTCCCCCTCCATAATATTCTTATGCATGTTGTCGTTTATCAGACGTCAGTACGCAGCCTGCGTTCTCTTAAAAGGACTTTCAATATATTTCCCCATGTGTCATCTTCGCACTCGACAGGAGAACCAGTTGAGAAGCCGCGTGTTTGCCGAACGTCTGGGCCTGGAGGCAGACTGGAACTGTCACATCTCCCTTGCACCGGAACCGAAGTACCAGCGAAAGCCACGTTCCGCCTGCCAAAGTTCCGACTGCGCCCATGGCCCACAGGACAGCGAACTTACGGTTGACCAGTCAGAGGTGTCAGGTGCGTCCATTCTTCTTTCTCCTTACTGTCCCATCCCTTCTTTGCTCTCTTTAAACACCTTTCACAGAATATATGTTTCCGTTTTTATAGTCCTGATTTTTAGTCTCCCTCCTCCTTCCTGCTCTTCATTTTGACCACTCGAACCTTATTCTTCCAGCACTACTTATGCAAATTTCCCCGCGTTTTGGTTTAGGTGCGTAGAGTGCCCAGTTGGGGAGTAGAAATCGCGGGATTTTCTGTCTTTTTAGAAACTGTTCGTACTTTGTGGTTACTCTACACAGTATTCTATCTCACACATAGCCCTCATTTGTGCCTCCACAGGGCTGTCCACATTCCTCATGTCTGTGTTAACTACCAGTATAAACCTAATAGAGTTAACCAATGTGTTTCCCACTCCAGTGAATTTCTTTATGTGTGCATTTACTGTGGTTTGTGAAGTAGATTGAAACCAACTGGCATAGTAGCATGGGAAGACTTGGCTTAAGTCAAATTTTACTGTTAGTCGCTTCGGCGTTCTGTCCTTGAATCAAAATGAGTTTGGGAAGGAGGCTTGGTGCTGTGCCAGTTTTCCAAGCTACCATTTCGTGAACTAGTCAATTTCACGAACCCGTCTCCAACTTCCACCAACCTGCCCAATATTTTGATCGTCGTTGCGGACAATGTACACTGTATGCCTCACGGAGTGGGTGACGCAGGAACAGTAGACTTGTGCTGCATCTACTGCACTAGCTCCCCTCCTAACTCACCTCGGCCCGGTGTCCTGACAGAGTCTGATACGGATTTGGGCGCAGGTGGCTCATACAGCATGAGCTCGCGCCTAAGTCTGCTCACACATCCCCTGATCCATGCACAAAGGACCAGAATTATACACAGTAAGAAAGATGGGGGCGGGTGGGCAGTTCGGATGACACAATAATATTCAAAAGATCCTCACTTTAGGAAGTCAAGTTAGGTGAACGAACGTTTTCAGATAATTTATCATCAGGCAAATACAATAATATAGTAGAGGGTAGAGTTAACAAAAATGTAAGCAACCCATCCGTAGTGATTAGAGGGAGAAGTGTTAAGGGATCAAAGGGGTCAGATTCTAGTCATAATAAGGGACCAGAGAGCGGAAAAGGAGGGCAAGGGGTCCGACAATTAGGTAATGTCGCTGCGTCATTCCTGTCTCGTGTTCTGTTGGGAGGTGTGAGGACGCAAGATGTAATCGTCTCGTGGTGAAGATGGCCATCACCGATGATCACGGAATAACTGCTAAATTTCGGGGTTGGTCACAACCCACCTCTCGAAGCCTTACACCTCGACCAGAAGTCTACCTACTTTCCATCCTATTTACTGTGATATTTTCCTCTGCCTTGCAGACTTTCCACTTCGCTCTCGTCTTCATCGCTCCCTGAGTGCTCCCTGCGTTTGTTACGCAAGTTCGGTTACGGTAAATACTACTTGTCAATATTTGCTTTCAGATATTTGTAATTTTTACAACTCTCCCGGGACTTAAATAAGAAAACTGGACGAATTTATTCGGACACTGCCTCTTGAGTTCAGGTCTATGCTTATTCAGCAAAAAGTCGGCTTTGGGTGGAGATACCATATTAATTTTCATGGAAGGTAATAGAGTGGAAATGAGGCCAATATTCTTTAGGTACCCATATTCGTCGTCGATTTCTACGAAAGAATTATGATGGCTGCTTGTATTTGACAGTGTTTGAGATATTTCTGTTGCCGGGAAAAATCGCAGGATACCCTCACATTCTCTGTGCGTCTTACGCATAGTACCAGCTGGCGGTGGGGAAGAGAGTCAGGTCGAACCTCAGCGCATTTCTTTCCTCACTAAAAACAATCTGATGCGCTTGAAGCTATCACAGTGCACTAAAAGCCGTGGCTTGGAGGGTTGTCAACTGACGGGATAACTCGGACACTGCAGTCAGCTCAGTGTGTCTCGCTGTGTTCGAGTGGCTTTCTGCGGGCAAAGAGTCAGGCTGCAATAGCTCCTTAATGTAGCCTTTCTGGCGCTCCCGCACACGTGGAAGCCTACCTAGCACGGTGGTGTTATTGTGGCGCGCGCTGGAGTGTGTTCGCGCACACCGCTTGCGCCCTCCCCCATTTCCGGTCTTCTCAACTATTGTCTTGACATCGGATACAGATGTGGCAGTGGTGAGAGAGTGGGATGGATCCTGCGAGTCTACTTTCACTATAATCAAGCTATAGTAATTGCGTCTACCGTCAGCTTGCTGAAGCTCATGGTGGACATCGTCGAGAACAACGGTCGAA